TTGCGGGAGCCTGCGCGCTGGCCCGGGCCAGTGCACCCCTGGCCCTGCGGGATCCTGCAGGATGCCTCGCTCTGGCTGCGCCCCGTTTGCCTTGGCCCCGTCTCGAGGCTCCCGGATGGGTCCCCTTTCCGGAGACCCACAGCTGCCGATACCCCCACTCCCCGGACCACTCCTGAGGTGCGCTCTGACCAGGACCTCGAGGCGAATCCACCGGTGGCGACGAAGGTCTCCCAGGAGGCCCCAAAAGGGGAGACCGAGGGAAAAGCGGCGGTGTGGGTACCGTGTCCTCTTCCGACCCTTGTCGAGGCTCCCGAGAGGTGGACTGTCCCTCTTTTTGGGGGCGGCCAAGAGTCGGGGGGCGTCCAAGAGGGAGGGGTGCAAATCATGGCCGGCGGCAGGTGCGCGGCCCAAGGGGGAGCCAGGGACGTAATGAAATAAGAAGAGGCGCCATGAAATCTGGGGAGATGTCATGGCCCACGCCATGATATCCACCCACCAGTCTTAGGTCGGACATGTCGCCCTACAGGGGGATTCTGGACAAACAGTTCAAAAAAGAGCCAACAACACACTAGAAACAGTACCAGAAAAAGTACCCAAAACATCGACCCCCGACTGGAGAATTGCCCTCCCTTAGAGGGACAGGCCCGACTTGACCCCAGTCATCACCCCCCGAAAAAGGGGGGAGGAGGAGGAGGAGGAGGAGGAGGAGGAGGAGGAGGAGGAGGAGGAGGAGGAGGAGGAGGAGGAGGAGGAGTAGGAGGATGAGGAGGAGGAGGAGGAGGAGGAGCATCCTCTATGCCTCGAGGGGGGGGGAGGGGGGGAGTCTGCCGCCCCTGAAAAACGGAGGGGGGGGGGCGCGAACCACGGCGGGCGGCACGGCACGGGCGCGGCCCCCTAAGAGAGGAGGGTGGGGGGGAGACCAGGGAGGTTCTGCTCGGGCGTTGGCAGAACTGGGTTTAGTGGGACCTGGTTTCGTGACGTGTGCTGGGGGGCGCCCCCCCCCCGCCCCGTTCCACTGACCCGAACTGCCGTCACCCGAAAAAACACCAGCTACGGCAGACCTGGTTTAGTGACTCTGGCCAATTTAAGGGCTCCAGGGCCCTACCACTAACCGGGTCCCCTTACCTGGGGTCTTGACTATACCCGATCTGCGCCCAGAAGCGGCGCCGCGAGCTCTGGGGAGATCTCCTGGCCCCCGCCACGAGATTCCCCCCAGTCTTAGGTCGGGCATCTCCCCCTATAGGGGAATCTTGGACGAAACTGAATACAACGTCTTGGACAAAAGCAGATGTTTTGACTACTGTTGAATAATCCTCCCATAGAGGGACAGGCCCAGCTTCACCCCAGTCATCGCCCCCCGCTCTGCTGCCCCCGACGGGAGGTGGACAGCTCTTCCTTTTTTCTCGGAAGAAGAAACAATCGCATAAACATAAACTGTTGGCGCTCCGCACGGATTTCTTGGATATGCCCCGGACACCCCTCCCTGGCGCTCGGAGCGCGCCCGTGGCGGCGCTGGAGGCGTCGACAGGGGAGCCCCAGCGCAGATCCGAGAAACCCGCGCGGAATGCCAAAAAAGTACAGTCGGACTTGATTGGACAGGACACGAAAGAGAACACAAGACCCTTCCGAGCGCCACACTGCCGTAGGAATGTGGGAGGCATCGGTCGCGAGACAAAGGACACAGGGTACCCTTGATTTGGGAGGATCGACCTGCCGACTGTATGCTCATGGCGCTTTGCTTCTTCGAGAGGGGTGGACAACTCCTTTGTGGGCCCCGGAAACGGCAAGGCCGTTTTTTCACACCGTTTCCAAAAAATGTCCCTTGAAGATGGGCACGTCAAAGAACTGGCAACCGGAAACGGCAACAAAAACGGCTCCAGGACTGGAACCAGAGCCGGAACCAATTAAAAAACGGCGAAACGGAACCCGTAAAAAAACGGCGTCGGAACAGGCAAACAACCGGCAGAACGGAGCCGGTAAGAGAAACCGGCCCTGTCGTTTCCAGGGCCCACTAAGAGGAGGAGGAGGAGGAGGAGGAGGAGGAGGAGGAGGAGGCGGAGGAGGAGGAGGAGGAGGAGGAGGAGGAGGGGGAGGAGGAGGAGGAGGAGGATGAGGAGAAGGAGGAGGAGGAGGAGGAGGAGGAGGCGGAGGACGAGGAGCAGGAGGAGGAGGAGGAGCAGGAGGAGGAGGAGGAGGAGGCCCTGTCGTTTCCAGGGCTTTCTCCGCGGCGCCTCGCGCCTCCCCTGCGCGGGGGCGCCCTCCTGCGGCCCTTCTACTGGCGCGCCTATGGGCGCGCCCGCAGCGCAGGGGCGCAGCGGCCTCCTGGGCGGGGGGGGGGCTCGGCGCACGGCGAGGGGCCGCGTCGACGTCGAGCGGAGGGCGGCGATAGCACAGCACTGGCCATCGCTCGGACGTTCATTCCCTGTGTTTTTTGTTTGGTTTCGTGCGTGGTTTTTTCGCCAATTGATCAAGGATGCTCCTCGATAGTCCTCGCCGAAAGAGAAATGCACACGTCCGAGCGATGCCGAGAGCAGGGGCTCGGCCAGGGGGAACCGGGCACGAGAAGCCCAACCCGGAGGCCCCAGGACGCCCGTTGGTTCCTGGTGTGGGCACGTCGCGCTGCCCACAGCGCAGGCGTCGGAACCCGAGAAGCCCAGGGCACCCTGGAGGCCAGCAGGGTGTGTCGGCATGGGTTTCCACTGTAGCCAGCCTCGAGCTGACCCCCATCCCTAAGATCGGCAAGCCTCATGTGATGACAGCCTTGGGGATGTGCCTCCAGAAAGCGAGAGGGAATCCTTGGGATCGGCATCGAGGTCAGGTGATGCCAATCGTAGGGATAGGGATATGCTTCAAACTGGCAAGATAGAGACCTCCCAGACGGGGCAACGGTGATCGGTGGGTCATCGCCGATGCATCGGTGATGCATCGGTGCATCGGTGATCGCAGAGGGATCATCCCCGATGCATTGGCGATGCATCGGTGTGGAGAAAAAAACGAGCTCCGCATCGAGCCGCGTCGCCGATGCACCGGCTATGCGGCGCGATCCTCGGACCCCGTCTGGGAGGCCTGGAGAAAGGGACAACGACCCAAACATGCCCGCGTGGTAAAACAAAAAAAAAAAAAACTGGACGGGAGGTCGTTGGCCCATTTCCGCCTCGGGGGCCCTCGCTGGGTGCTAGTACCGTCGAAAAAACAAAGAGGGGCAGAGAGGCCAAAGAGGGGCCCAAGACGCCCCCCCAGACGGCCCCAAGAGCGCCCAAGAGCGGTCCAAGAGCGGCCCAAGAGGGCCCCAAAAAGCGATTCCGACAGCTCCGGGGGGGGGGGCTGAAATCGAGGACCCCCCTTCTTTTTACCCATGGCCTCAAAGATCGCCGCAAGAGGCGCCAGGCGGCCCTCCAGGGCTCTCAAGGCACACCTAAGAGGGCCCCAAAAAGAGCGCCAAGAGGACAAGATCCCCCCAAAAAATACCCAACAGTGCTCCAAGAGGCAATTTCGATGGCTCTGTCCTCGTCTTAGTTGTCCTCCTCCTCCCCTCGTCCTCGTCCTCGTCCTCGTCCTCGTCCTTACCCTCATCGTCTTCCGTTTCCTTTTCCTCCTCTTCCTCGTCGTCGTGGTCGTCGTCGCCGTCCTCCTCCTCCTCCTCCTCCTCCTCCTCCTCCTCCTCCTCCTCCGTTTCTCGCCCCCACACGGGCCCCAGGGATGGCCCGAAAAGGCCCTCCAAGGCCATCCCCTTGCTCCAAGAAATGTGCACGTTCGCTTTGGTTGTCTGCGTTCCGTCACTACATGTGTCGCTTCATCCCTTTCCCCTGTCAGCTCTCATAGGCAGGGTACGCGAAGCATGACGAAATCATCAGCATTGCGGCCGTCATACTGCTGCGCGTGCACTCGACATCTATATCTGTACATACACACATATAGATATATAAATATGTGTGCATGTACATGTATGTGTGTGACTACAGATTAATGCACATACCTTATATGCGTATGCCTCTGTACATATACATGTCGTGTTGCTCCTGTATATGCTGTGATGATTGTTCTAGACTGGCAAGCAAACAAGCTCACTAGACAACGTAAGCTATCGAAAGGGCCAGTCAAGATGAACCAGATCGGATTTACAGAACTGATGAACTACGGATACCAGCCAATCGAGCGAGTAACACGAGCCTGACAATGAGCCACACACCTCGAGGTGGCTTAATGATGGTTCCAAGGTCGCCCAAAACAGCGCAACAAGGCGCACGAGATCTCTTTAAGGAGCGTCCGTACAAGAAATGAAAAGGAGAGAGATGACGAGCACACGTTTTTTGATCCGCCCTTATCTGCGAGGCACTCCTGCGTCACCCCTCCTCCTGTTCGTCCTCTATCTCCTCCTCCTCCGCGACAACGAAATTAAACGTGTACAAGGAACTGCTGAACCAGCCAGACTAACCAGAGCAGCCATACCGCCAGACCAGACAGGCCAGCTACAGAAGCCAGACCAGCAGGACCAGTTCCACCAGCCGAAGCAGTCAAACCAGCCATACTAAGTTAAACAAGCCCGAAACGGCGTTGGGCAACACTGGCCCTGCACTCGCACGAGAGCGGTCCTCGGACGTGCACTGCGATAGCGCCTGAGCGCCTCTCACACGCGTGCACTCTCTCACTGTGTGTTCTCTCTCTCTCTCTCTCTCCTCTCAAGCTCCAGATGGGCACGACAACATTGTGACAGATTCGAAGGGCGCGAGGGCTAAACAGGCGCTGAAACCAACATGTGGGGCTCCTCCCGGCCACGCCCCGAGAACGACAGCCGCCCTGCTCGTGGAGGCTGCGCGCACACTGCCGTGACCCACGGCGGGCACCGCGCGGCGACCTGCCGCTCACCGGGCAGCATGCCGCAGAGCGCGAGACGCCGCTCGAAACGCAGGTCTCACGGGGCAGGTGCGGGCGAGCGATGCGGGGGCAGACCCTGCGTGTCTCGATGCTCCGCCCCTCGCCCGAGCTGGCCGCACGCCCACCTGGCCACTCGACCCGACAGCCCTGGCGGCATGGAAAGCCCTGCGCGGCACTGCCGGACCGGCAGCCACTGGATCCAGCAGGCGACCCAGCAGCGTGCCTCTGTCCAGCAGCCTTGCCCGGGACAGCGACAGGAGCGGGGTGTACTCGTGCGGCGCCAGCCTGATCAGCGGAATGTCGCGCAAGACAGAGTCGGCGCGCGGGTCCTTGCTCAGAAGGACGGCAGCCGTGGACATGCCAGCCCGAGCTGCTGCCAGCTGAATGCGATAGGCGGTACTGGTGGCTTCAGACATGATCCACGATCCTTTCGAGCTCCCGCACGCAGGCGGGGAAGCTACGCTTAAAAGCCGCTGACACATTGCATTCACGGCCACTTCAACAAAATCTATGGGTGCACCCACTCTCTGCTGGACAGGCAGGTGGAAGTGCTGGACATCGATACCTGCGAAAAGAGGATGATCTCGAATGCCAATACCGTCAAGCCGATTGTGGAATAACTCTCGGAACAGATCACGCCACTGAATAAAAAATGGGTTCCCCGGCATACAAGCAATGAAGAAACTCTCCATGGAACAAGTGCCGTCAAAGGCTGTTCCACCAGGGCGGGAATTGTAAAACAGGGCGGCGGCATTATGGCCATCAGAGACTGCATTCCAACAGAAGTTGTCAAGATTCATACGAAGAATTACACCAATGTCCATCCACACACCGCCGTAGCGTGCCATGATCGCCAGTTTTACAGCATCAGATGCAATCTGTTCGGGTAATATATATCTGAACCGGTTCGGTAGATCCACGGCAGACAAGAATTCATCGACTGACTGCTTATCGAGAACCCGAACCTCCCAATCAGGGTTGAGACGCCGCGCCGCGTCAAGACACAATCTGAGGAACTCGGGCATTGTCCGATGGCCACGTGCCCAATAGGTCCAGATGGTGCGCTGGGCAACGTCTCCAGCAAGAGCCCTGGGAGGCGTGGATGGGACGTTGTGATCGACTCGGAACATTCCCTCCAGCACGTCAGCAGGATGGCCGCTCATCTCCACAATGAAACGATGGCCTCGAAGGCTTAGGTCGGACATGTACACCTCCAGGCGGACGTTGGCGGCAAAAGCAAAAGATACCCCCAAAATGCTCAGAAATAGTCGACTTGAATTAAAACATCGTCCCCTGACTATTTCTGGACTGTTTCTAAATATTCCCCCAACATGCTCAGAAGTATTCGAATTGAATCAAACATCGTCCCCTGACTATTTTTACCTGACAGCGAAGACTGATAGGTTTCTAGTGGTGTCAAAAGAGAGCATCATGACTCCTCAGGGGGGTCGGGGCGGGACCCGGGGCGGCTGCCGCCGAAGCCGAAATCGCTTGGGACATCCTCGCAAAATCGCTCTTGGCGCTCCCAGAACTCCATTCCCGGGCCACATTTTGAATGCCCGGAGCCAACTGTAGGCCACTTCGTGCTCTTCGACTTCCCAGAACTCCATTCCCGGGCCACATTTTGATGCCCGGAGCCAACTGTAGGCCACTTCGTGCTCTTCGAGTTCCCAGAACTCCATTCCCGGGCCACATTTTGGATGCCCGGAGCCAACTGTAGGCCACTTCGTGGTCTTCGAGTTCCCAGAACTCCATTCCTGGGCATGATTTTGAATGCCCGGAGCCAACTGTAGGCCACTTCGTGTTCTTCGAGTTCCCAGAACTCCATTCCGGGCCACATTTTGAAGGCTGAGGCAGGCTGATGCTGAGGCTGAGGCAGGCTGAGAGCTGAGGCTGAGGCCGAGGCTGAAGGCTGAGGCTGAGGCTGGCAGGCTGAGGCTGAGGCAGGCTGAGGCTGAGGCTGAGGCAGGCTGATGCTGAGGCAGGCTGAGGCTGAGGCTGAGGCTGATGCAGGCTGAGGCTGAGGCAGCCTGAGGCTGACGCCGAGGCTGAAGGCAGACTGAGGCTGAGGCTGAAGCAGGCTGAGGCTGAGGCTGAGGCAGGCTGAGGCTGAGGCTGAGGCTGAGGCTGAGGCTGAGGCAGGCTGAGGCTGAGGCTGTGACTGTGACTGCCGTTGCCACTGCGACTGTCATCGCGAATGCGACTACGACTGCGAGAACAGCAGAAGTCTACAACTGGATTCTCATCTGAATCTTAAGGGGAATGCTTCCAGATATGCTCCTACACATCGCTGTTAGGTTGCTTTGCCGGGATAATTTCAAACAGTTTCTCGATATTCCTCCTGTAGACGCACACGCCCGGCTCCATCGAAGGCCGACGGGACGCGAGGCGCTGAGGCCAACGTCGGGGCGGACACCCCGCCTGAGCCGATGCGGCTACGGAAGCATGGGGCGGAGGCAGACAAAGCCTCGACTCCCCGTCGCTCGGACGTCCAGTCCCTGTGCTTTGTTTGGTGTCTTGCGTGGTATTCTTCGCCAAATAATCAAGGATGCTCCTCCATAATCCCCGCCGAGAAAAAGCGCACACGTCCGAGCGATACCAAGCAACTGACGAACCCGTGGAATGGTCAACAGCTGTTGCCACAAGCAGGGGAGCGAAGCATGACATGGACACAAAAACTCGGAGGTCCACGCAGATGTCTCGGATCCGCGCTGGACCCCCCTGGCGGCGCCTCCAGCGCCGACCTAACGCGCTCCGACCTAACGCGCTCTGCCCTAACGAAGGGGGGTCCAACGCCGATCAGTGAAATCCGCGCGGACCTCCGCTCGGAGGGCATCGTGCACCTGCCTGCTGAGGGATGGGTCTACCGCTGCTGGTGCCGCCTCTTACGCCTGCTTCGTCCCCCGTCCATCGCGTGCCGAAGCCTCTGGGCGCTTGAACGAGCTCCATTCCTCTCTGGGCAGCAGGCAATTTCGGACCACAACCTCTTCAGGGAACCAGATCTTTTGGATGCCGCGTGAATGGTCCGGCAGTCAGTGCGAAGCGGGAATGTGCACATGACCACCGCATGCAGAATAGGCCTTCGGGGGCGTCTGCGGGCTGTGGATACGGATAGGTGTTGGCCCGTGCAGGGCGCGAATACACCTAGATCCACCGCCCGCCGAGACCGCCGAAGCTCTATCCCCGCGGCGGTGGTTATGGATAAACCCTTGCTTCGGATGAACGAGCTGGACTCCCGCCATGGCAACAGGCCCTGCCTTGGGAGCCATCTCCTGTGGATCCCGCGTGCCCAGTCATTGAGCCGGGCTCTCGAACATACACACACACACACACGGAAACCATCCTTGGGGGTCACAACGCGGTGCGGTCACAAGCCGTGCGGTGACCTCAAGATCCCAAGAGATCTCGCCGCACGGTCCGACACAGTACGGTCTTGACACCCTGGATCGGGGGCCCCATGCGAACCCTACCCCTACCCCCCACGAGTTCTGAGGGGGTGGCGAAGGGAACCCCACCCTCCCCTCCAGAAATCGTGGGGGGCCGGGGGCAGGGGTAGGACTCGCATGTGGCCCCCTACTGGAGGCCCCGAGCGCCCGACACATCCTCGGAGAGCGAGCCACACCCCCAAACCGTGCGGCCACCCCGCACCCCCGAGGCGACTCGCCACACGCGGCGCGGGCGCCGCACCTTCCGAGGGGAGCCCTGCCGCTGCTCCGGCCACGCCTCTCGGCTCTCCAGCGGCCGCTCGAGGCGATCCGGGGGCCACCCCGGGGACGCCCTCGGCGAGGCGCAGCTGCCCGAAGGCGTCCCGAGGCTCCGAGAAACGGCCGGGAAGCGCCGAAGTGGCCAGGCGCTGTTTTCGTCGGCGGCGGGGCAGGAGAGCTGCGCCAGCGGTGAGCGATCGGGGCGACCGAGAGGCGAAGTGGGCTGGCATGCAGGGGGGGGGAGGAGGAGAGACAGGGCGGCCGCGAAGGACAGGAGGAGGCGGAGGGCACTCAGACGCGGAAGAAGTCCACACGGAGCGCGCCGGCGCGGCCAACAGCGGCAGTGGGGGCCGGGGCAGCAGCGAAATGTCCGAGCACATGTCGGGGAGACGTAGGGCTTGGGTACGAGGGACTCGGGTTTGCCGGACGGGGCCACCATGAAAATGACGAGGCCCAATCTGAAAGGTGGCGCGACCTCCCGCTGCAAGCATCCCACGAAAACGGGGCCGCCGAAATCCAGGACGCGCTCGCCAAAAAACGTCGGCCAACCCGAGTCCTGGCGCACTCGAGTCTTACGTTTAGGTCGGGCATGTACCCCTACAGGAGGATTCTGGACGACAAAAATCAAACATCCTCCACAACTATTCAAAACATATTGAAAACAAAATCGTCCCCAGACGAATTGCTTTGCTATTTTTGAATATTCCTCCTGTGGAAGGAAAGGCCCGACTTAGTCTTACGTTTCCCCGCACATGGAACCAGCCGAGCGGCACGCGGTTCGGCCTGGGCAAACGGGGGGGATAGCAAAGGGGGGGGGGGGGGGGAGAATCAGCTCAAGTAGCTAATTCTCCCGGCGCCTCCCGGCGCCGGGAGGCGCCCACGTATCGAGGAATGGGCCTGGCGGCGGGGCCGCAACCAGCTGCATGCAGCAGGTTTCGTAACCCCCCCTTTCCCAATCCCCTCCTTTCGTCCGGCCCGAGCCTTCTGTAGGGGGACACATGCCCGACGCAACAGCAGGCCTCCCCGCGCGGTGTCCGCCAACGCGCAGTCTTGTCGAGGCCTCGAGGAGGCCCCAGGTCGGAAAGGGCCCCCCGAGCCCCAAAAGCCCCCGCGCCCGGGCGTGCGATGCCCTCCTCCTCCTCCTCCTCCTCCTCCTCCTCCTCCTCCTCCTCCTCCTCCTCCTCCTCCTCGTAACCTCCCCTTCCCTATCCTTCTGATGTTCCAACCTGCTTTGGCCTTGATCACCAGAGAGAACTTCGAGCACCAAGGAAAGTACCGAAACCTCGAGGGTCTTCACGCCTCGGGCCCAGGGAGGCACTCGTGCTCCAGCACTGCCTCGGCACTGCCTTGGCACTCCTTCGACACTCTTCCGTGTGCTCGACGTTGTTTCTGGGATGTGGTCCTCAAGTACGACGGGAGCAACTTAAGGCAAAGGGTCACATCTGAAAGGCTGTTTCGGTTGATCTTCGAGGTTTGAGTCTGCAAAAAGGTGAACCACAGGACGGATGGATCTCCGGGGTGCAAGAGCCCCTGTGGAGTTCACCCTGAGCCCTCCATCCTAAGAAAATGCTCAGAGTTGGTGATCCCCCCTGTCGTTCGGCCCGAGCGGTGCGACGCCAGGCGGAGAGGACGTCGGATTACCAGCCTGGAACATATCCCTATCCCTATGCTGGGCATCTCCGCATCACGATGCCAATCTTAGGGATTCCCTTAGTTTGTCATGGCGAATCCCTGAGATTGTCATCGCCTTTTGGCGTGGCAATCTTAGGGATAGGGATACGTTCGAGGCTGGTGAGTCGGAGGACCGCGGCGGGGAGCGGGCGCGCGGGGCGGAGCGGCGCGGCGCCGCGGCCTGGCGGGCCGGGCCGTCCCGCCGCCGCCCTCGTGAGCGCGTCCTCGGCACGCGCGGGGAGCCGAGTGGGCCGCGGCGGCGAGCGGCGGCGGCGGCGCCGCCCACCTGGGCCTCGCCACGCTTCCGCGGCCCCAGCCTCGCTGCGAGTTTTCGCGAGGGCGGCATCGCAGGAGCGGGCGATGCGGCCGATGTACTGGGTCTTGCGCCTCTGGCAGGCCAGATCCGCAGCGAACAACGCCTGCTCGTTCCATGCGGCCTCCGGGAAAATTCCCCGACTGCCCGCCCACTGCCGGCGGCGCAGACGCAGCCGGAGGCGGCGGCGGACCTGGCTGAGGGGGGGGCCGCGGAGCGGGGAAAGCTGGCGCTGCAGGCGGCGCCGCCCCGAACGCCCGACGTAGCCGCGCGCAAACCTGGAGCGAGCGAGGTGTATATTCGCACCGCTGCCGAGGCCCCTCGCGAAGATCAGGCAGTCCAGGGAGAGCCAATGCGGGGGGCGAGGAAGAAGCAGGAGGAAAAGCACGTCCTGGATCGCAGCTGCCGCGAGGAACCGGGCCCGCCGGGGCCGGCCAGAGCTCGAAGACGGGATCGATCGAGAACGTCGTGCGCCCCCGGCGTGAAATCGCCCGAACCCGCGCGCCGCGCGCCCCGGCAGCGCGGCGCGGCCCCCGACCCGAGCGCCTCGCGGAGGCGGGCCGCCGGGCCCCCCGCCCCCGCCGATCGCGCCCCGGCACGTCGGGCGCGTCGCTCGGGACCTGCAGGGCGAACTGGTCGAGCCCCACCTGGACTGTCTCCCCGCGGGAGCGCCTGCCAGATCTGACTCGGGTCGGGCGAAAGGGGGGCTAGCAAAGGGGGGGGGACAGAATCAGCTCACGCAGCTGATTTTCCCGGCGCCTCCCAGCGCTGGGAGGCGCCCATGCATCGAGGAATGGGCCCGGCGGCGGGGCCGAAACCAGCTGCACGCAGCAGATGATTTCGCACCCCCCCCTTTCCCAATCCCCCCCCTTCGTCCGGCCCGAGGAGCGCCTGCCAGACGGCCTGACCTCCTCCCACCCCGAGCCGAGAGGAGAAGGCGGGGTCGCCCCGGCGGCGCAGCGGGCTCCGACGCCGCCGGCCGGCGCCCGCAGCCGCACCCCCCCCGGGCGCGTCGCCGGCAGCCTCGGCGAGCTGGATCCCCGTCGCCTGCCCGACGCAGCTGGCGGCAGACTGCCGGCGCGTCGTGCCCAGGAGATCCGCACGCCCGCACATCCGTCAGGCTGGAGACGGGGGCGGGCAGTCCGGCCCTCTCTCCCTCGGCCCGCTGGGTTGCGGCCAACGCACATCCTGGGTGGCCTCTGGCACGGCCACTGCGCGGCCACAGCGCGGGGAGGGGCGGTGCTTGAGGCGGAGGACGGCGGTCTCCGGGTCCTGCTGCAAAAGCGTCGTCCGCCGGGCCTGCAACACCACTGGAGATGCATCCGTGTGCGACAGGAGCTCCTCCCGTTTCACCGCCACCAAGTTCACGCTCAGCTCCCAGGCGTGCACCGCCGCCGACGCGTCAATGAGCTCGCAGAAGAGCGCCGACCCATCGGTGTGCAAGCCAAACGGGCCGAAACAAGGCGCCCCGCGGGGGTGAGGAGCGACGGAGATGCCGCCACCGCAGCGCAATCTGCAGCTCCGGTGTCCCGGGGGGGAACGTCCACTCCATGCTCATCCTCCTCTTCGTCACTGCGGAGAGCATGCTCTGGAGAGGGGCGCTGGCGTGCACCCGCTGGAGGCCGGGGTCTTCGAGGATGCGGAGCACCTGTGGCAGCGCTGTCGCTGGAAAGTCCAACGTGTAGGCTGGCACCGCCGTGACCTGGAGCACGGGGGCCGCGGTCGGTAAGATGCGCGGCGGGGTGACGTGAGCGCCGCCGCCAGAGAGAAGATCGCTAGGCCGCGCAAGTCATGACGAGGATCACGGACTCCCGGCAACAACATGTCGTAGGGAGTGACGGCGTATACTCCACTTTCTTCACCACGGGAACTCCGCGTTCGCTCAGGAGCGGGTGCCACCACAGGTCTTGGATCGCCTCGACCGTGTGGCTCCCTGGGAAGAGCTCTGGAAGGACTACGAATCGGATGTGCTGCGGGGCTGGGAGATCCATGTACGAGTTCAGCAGCCTGCCGAGAGCGGAAGCGTCCGTCGGCGCCCAAAGGACGGCCGGGCGGCCACCCAGCTCCGTCCAAACACGAGCGTGCTTTTTGACGGCCAGAGCTGCCACGCGGCGACACGTCTCCGGCCCCAGCGTGCCCTGGTGCGCCGCTGAAGCTGCACCGGGGGACAGCTTCAGGGAGGACCACTGCGTGAGCACCATCTCCTCAGCTGTAGGTGCCGTGGCGCGGAGCAACTGCTCTATCTCCCAGCTCGTGCCACAGCAGGAAGGGTGTGCGTGATCGGCGGCGCACCTTGACGATCTCTGGGAGGAGGTCGCTGCACTGCCGAACCCCGTCTGCGAGCGCTTGCAACGCAGCCGTCGCCTGCGCTCGCTCTTCCGCACTCCACGACGGGGACTGCGACGTTGAGCACAGCAGCCAGGCTGTGCGGAAGCGCGCCCCCAGGTCCGGCAGCGTAGGCTCGGGGCCCTCGAGCGGGAGAAGCCCAGGCGACGCCGAAGACAGACGGCATCGGGCTTGTACGCGAAGTGCCGCAGCAGCTCGCACAACGACGTCCATGATGAGACCTGGCCGCTGGTGATCACCCGGCCCGCAATGGCGGGCCCGACAGACCGCTCGGCGCTGACGAGCTCCCGGAATTTGCTGGCGGACTCCTCCACCATCTCCTACAAGATGACTGCGGGAAGCTCCACGGCCGCTGGGGCCGCAGGAGGGGGCGGAAACCCTGGGGCGATCGGCGCGGCCAGCGGGTCAAGCATCGCAAGCCCGGCAGCGGCCTGCGTCAGCCCGGTGCCCTCCTCTGGTAGGTCGTCGTCCATGCCATCGGCGGTGGCCAGGGCTGCCGCGTCCGCACTAGCGGCGGCCACAGCTGCGCCGGTGGCGGCGTGCGCGGCGCACAGGGCGCCGCCGGGAAGCGCGGGGGCCTCCAAGCCTGAGGCGAGGCACACGGCGCAGCGCCTGGCCATCGCAGGCCGTGCTTGCGCAAGCAGGAACTGGAGATGGGTTTACCCGCTATCGCAAGCACGGGACCAGTCTTTCGAGCCACGTCCAGCCGCGGCGGCGAGGAGAGGGGCACTTGCAGGGTCCCCTTTATTACAGCGCGCTGTTTCCGCCGGGAAAGCGGGCTGCTAGGTGTTGCGCCCCGCTTGGATTTGAGGAGGGCAGAAGCTACCACATGTCGCCACACACACACACAGCGCTGCGATGGCACCGTGGCGAAGTCAACGCGGGCACTCTTTTTCCAGCTGGGCCCTACCTCGAGGACCAGCCATCCTCTCTCACCATCTCGAGTGCCGTGCGCGGCGGCGTGGGCACAAGATGAGGGAGGGGATGCAAGGAAGAGAGGAGCGAATGGACCTGACCAGCATCGATGGCAGGAGAAGGGGCGCGGAGGAAGGGGCGAGGGAAGCAAAGACTCAATCCTCCTTGCGGAAGAAGCTGGACGCGGCTGGAGCAGGAGCTGCCGCGAGGAGGAGGCCGTGGAGCGACGACAGGCCGACGACGGGGCAGAAGGGCAGGGCCAGACGGAGGGGGATGCCGATGCACGAAACATGCGCGCGCGGGGGGGGGGGGGGCGGCCTTCGAAGAAGGCATGAGGCTCCTCGACGGGGCCAGGGCCTCTCGCGAGACTCGAGACTCATCAAGAGGCAGGAGGGCCTCTCGGAAGCCCCCCTGCCGTCTCAGAAGCCCCTCCCCCGTCGCCCGCACCCCCTTGTTCAAAAGGGCACAGGGAAACACACATCGATCGACCGCTGTTCCAGAATCTCCTTTCGGTTCTGTATTACCTGGACCTCCCTCCCCCCCTCAAATTCCCAAACCTGCACATCTCTTCACGAGGAGCCATGCTTACTTGTGCTTGTGCCTGTTGTTCCCCCCTCATTGCTGGCGCCGCCATTCCGTGGAGGGAAGACGGGACTGGGGAGACCAAAAGGTACCAACACCGCTACTCCCCGGACCTCTCCTGGGGTGCGTCCTGACCAGAATCTCGAGGCGCATCCAGCGGTGGCGACGATGGCCTCCCAGGAGGCCCAAAAAGTGGACAACTGGGGAAGGGTAGCGGTATGGGCGCCGCTGCCTCCTCGGCAATCCAGGGGGTGTGGGGGAGGGACGGGACGGGGAGGGCAACGCCGAGACGCCCTTTTGCCAACGAGCGGGGTGCCGGGCTGCCGCGCACAGCTCGCTGCGAAGCCCCGCCGTCGGGACCCCCGCGGCCTACGTGGAGGCCGGGCGCGCGGCAAGCGCTGGGTGCCAAAGCGACCCCTGCGCCCGTCGCTCCCCGGCCCGGCGCCGGCTGGAAGATATGATGGGCCGCTGTTCCACCACCACTATCAACAGGTAGAGGGGGAAGGGAGAGAGGGAGCGAAGGGGGAAGCGAGGGCGGGAGGGAGGGAGGCAGGAGGAGGAGGAAGAAAAGGAGGACAAGGAGGAGGAGGAGGAGGGGGAGCAGGAGGAGGAGGAGGATCAAGAGGAGGAAGAGGAGGAACTCCCCATGATCCGTTCCGCCCCGGCCCAATTGCCTGTGGTAGTGGGGGTGGAAAGTTGGCCCATCAAGATGAAACCCGCAGAGCGCACGAGCTGCCGATGTCGTGAACTGTGCAGTGCCTGGCGTTCCCCCGGCCTCGGCCTCCAGAGGCCCGCCTTTGAGCCCTGGGGAGATCCAAATGGCTCGCCGGTTTCGGCAATGACCTCCTCCTCCTCCTCCTCCTCCTCCTCCTCCTCCTCCTCCTCCTCTTCCTCCTCCTCATCCTCCTCATCCTCCTCCATTACCCTCCCTCCTCCCTCCTCCTTTTCCTCCCCCTCCTTTTCCTCCTCCTCCCTCCTCCCTCCTCTTCCATTATCCTCCCTCCTCCCTCCCCCTTCTCCTCAGGCTCAGACTCAGAACCCATGGAACCCGCCGCAGTCTTAACAAAGAGAAGCACATCTCCGACTTGGAAGCTCGTGCCAATTTGGCCCGGGATTCTGAAAAAGGCTCTCTACGAAACCGACGCAATGTTGAGTAGAGGCCAGCTGCACACCACACGCTGGCGGCACTGGCCTGGCCGGCGACCCTTGGGGCAAACAATCCCGCTCGGGGCCAGCACCCTCGGCACAGGGTTCAACATTTGATACTGGTTACGTTCCCTTTCCCCCCACCCAAACCGTCAGAACCGCTCCTCCCACCCCGTCCTTTTCCCTTGCCTCTGCTTTTGTCCTGGCTCCTGTGGCGCGTGCGAGAGGGCATTATCACCACAGGGCGAGCGGGCAAAGAGGCATGATTATACGTCTTAGCGCTGCTGCTGAAGGCACTGCTCATTAAATGTGGGTCCGCGCGACCGCTCGCAATCAGCTCTGCCAGGCGTCTGTTGCGACTCAGATGGCCCACCCGCCGTCACCGAGCAGCCTCGAGATCTCGCGTTCCAAGGACCCCCGCGGAGCTGCTCCCTGAAGCCCCCCCCCCCCAGCTCGATCGTCTTGAGAATGAGCGGGGTCAGCACTGCCGTCAGCGAGTGGCTCAGGTCGAACTGGATGATGATCGTAGCCTTCTGTTCCTGCCCGTCCTGCTTCTTCTGAAGCTTCACGCGAAAGTACTGGACGAGATCGCACGCGTCTTCCACTGTCATCTTCTCGAGGCGGTCTGCGAATAGCTGTTTCATCTCCTCCGGGGTCTTGGTCATCTCGCGGTCCTGTGGCGCGGGATCCTCCATATTCGATTCCTTGTTGGCCGCGCACTCGCAAGCGGCCATGAACGCTCTCGCATGGGGCGGGCCTCTGCTTTTCCAGTCCGCGGCGTCGCCTTTGCTGGCCGGCGCTCGAAGCTCTTCGGGTTGCTCCTCGTATTTCTTGCAATCCGCGACCACTGCCACCGCGAAGCCCGCCCCGGCGCCGTCGCCGTAGCGCGCGCGGGCACGAGGCCAGGTCCGCCGGCCCCCTGGCGCTTGTCAGCGCGAGCCTAGACATCGCGTCGGTGGGCTGGCCTCCTTCGACCTGCGCTTGCCCTTGACTTTGCCATTCGGAACCCCTGTCTTGGGTGCCTTGTCGCGGTCGCCTTCTTGGCCCGAACCGCGTCGGCGTTGCGCTTCCTGGCCATAAACAGCGTCGGCGTAGCGACAGCTGGTCTGGACATGCACGCGCCGCCCCCGGCTGCACGGCGCAAGCTTCCACGGAAGATGGCCCGCCAAATGGCTGCAGAGGTCGTCAACTGTCGAGCGCGAGCGCCCTCTCTGCAACGAGCGAAGCACATGGCAAGCGGCGCCCTTCTGACCACAGAAAGTCTGCTCTCAGCGGATACATAAGCTACCTGGCGAGAGCACACGGATGAGACTGCGCATGTCATGCAAACCTCCAAGATGGCATAGCAGAGACCGACGGGTAGCAAACTTACAAGTACAAAAAACTCCATCCGTAGTAATCCAGCACGCGCATCGCTCGAGGCCTTCCTCGGACCCAAGTCCCCCGGAGAGACGAGGCGGAAGGGGGGGCCTCGAAACCAGGGGGGGGGAATTGGGCCGAGAAGACCTTGAGCGCGCAAAACTGTGACATCTACCCTACTAGACTCGTCGGCGAATTCTTCATCTCTGAGCAGGTTAACATTGTCGGCGAGCGTTTCATGGGCCTCATTATCCGATTTGCCCGTTGCACACGGTAAAATCGGCGAGAAACTGGCGGGCCCAGGGCGATGCACATTGGGCGGATTGCCCGTTAATATGGAGGGGGGGGGGTGGGGGGGGGGGGGGGGGGGCGAGCGCGATCAACTTCTATTTGCCCGGAGAGATAGCCCAGGACCTGAGAGTTAGTAATGGGGGTCCCGAGCCCACCTCTGGTAGAGCTCAAGTCGCCGAATGACAATCTCAAGCCAACAAGACGCAAACCGCCCCCACCGAAGAAGTTGGCGGTTAGTCATGCCGACGGGGGTCTCACCATCCCACTCCACGGCTCTTCCTCGCATGGCGACCGGGCAACGCCGCGCTGGCTGTCGATCGAGCTTCTCACAATCTTCTGCCGCAATCACAAAGCTCTCGAGCCCGCTTAGGAGCGCGTGGACAACGAAACAGAGGAGCAAGCATCTCTCGAACTGGCGCGGCAGAGACATTGTCTAGATAGCGACGAGGGAATGGAAAGCGGCGCGGGCCGCCCGGGCCCTTCTTTCAATCTCGTGGGCCGGCGTGCTCCGCTGGGCCAAATGGGGGCCCGAATAGCGGACAGAGTCGAGAACTCTACCTTTAAAACCGTGCTGGTGGAGGCCCTTCAGAAGTTGTTCAAATCTCGTGCTGCCCGCCCCCTGAAAGTAGGAAAGAAACTCCTGCTTACTAGGTTTGTAGCCGCACTGCTCTAGCTGCTCATCGAGGGTGTCGCCCGACGATCGGACATCGCGCATAAGCCCGCTGCAAGTTATACCATGGGGGGGCGGGGGGCTAAGATAAACTTCGCAGGGTCATCTTAGAGGGAAGAGAACTACGCACATGCACCGATTCTGGTCAGGCCCATCCTGAGCCCAGGATCGGTGCATACGCCCTCCTACCTTGGCCAGGAAGGCAGATGCACCGATCCTGGGTCAAGGATGGGCCCTGCCAGGATCAGTGCATGTGCATAGTTCTCTTCGCCCGACATCTGCAAACTTGCTTAAACTCGAATCAGCTCGACAAAGTCCCATTTCAGCCGTGAGGGCTTTTCCTGCGGGGTCGTTTTGCCAGTGCCAGTAGCTCCACTTTGAGTCGGGTGGCTTAAAGACTCCTACACAATTAGCTCTAACAAACGGCACCCCACTCACACCCCCAACCGCGGGCTTCATGATGAGCGGGCGGTCGGAGGAATCCAAACATATGACTCCTTGACGATAACGCTGGCGGCAGAGAACTCGCCCCTCCTCGCGGGTTCCTAAATCCACGGCAGCGCCCATGCAATCCCAGTCCGAGCTGTCGTTGAATCTTTCAAGCATAGCACGTGGGTCTGATGGGGAGCTCGCAGCCGCCAGCTAGTTAGCACCGCAGTCAAACTGGCATTTTCTCGGCGTCGGCCTTTGCAGAAGCCGCGATCGTCTACAGTCGGCGTAGCCTTGAACTTACATGCAAGGAAACTCGTGCCTAAAGCTGGAAGCGCGCGCGCAATGCGGCGGCCCTTAGGCCCAGGAGATGCACGTTTATAAATCGCGGCCCCATCGCTAGCGCGCCAACAGAGCGGAGTGAGATTACACGAACGAATTTCCCACAGTCCTAGCTCGAGCAGACAACAAAACGCATCGCAACGAGGCGTCTTCTCACGAGATCCGGCACCTCTTCTCATCTTGACCTTGCGGTTTGGAAGAGGGCACATGTGCCAAAGCACCAGCGAGGCCCCCCCTTGCGGAACTTGTTTCCGTCGAGGGACTCGCCTAACATATCCCATAATATGTCGCAAGTCGCCTGCGGCGCCCCCCTGGAATTCAACAGTTCGGTCGAAATAGAAGACCTGAGTGTCGCGATCGGATCTCCCATCTTGACGGTTAAACTCAGTAGCGCCCATCCCCCCTCTCAGCCCTCCAGACTCAAAGCCTCCATTCATTCCTCGGAGGTCGGCAGGGCCGCGCAAGCAAGGCGGCCGCCCTGGTGCTTCGGTCCGCGCCGACAGCGCGCGGAGGCGCGCGCAGCTCGCACGGCTTCTGAGGGGCGACTCCTGGCCCGCGCTTCCCAGGCCTCGGCCAGCGAGCCTGATCTTCTATACCTCGCGCGCGCGGCGATCATTAAACATTGTGCTGCTTAGTTCGGCCAGCTCCGTCTCGATCTGTTCAAGTAGCGGCTCGGAGCCACGCGGGCGCGATTCTCCGAGGTCAGCACGTTCCTTCCAGAGCAGGCGGCGTCGAAGTGCGACTTGACTGTATTCGTGCGTTGCCGTCCTGGGTTTAAAACAAGATTGCCCGGCGGTGATCATGCTCCGCGCGAGCGTTTCAAACATTTCGTCTGGCGACGCGTTATCTTTTTTAGCCACAAGGGGTCAGCTCTCGAAAGCTCGCCCTCGACAGCTGCTAGGTACTGCTCAAGACCAACCCCCGTCCTCACCGCCACCATTATCTCGTCGCGCTGCCGAGCTTCCTCACGCTGCGCCGTCTGCGCGGGCTCTGTCGAATGCTTCTGGTCGCGGGGGCACGCGTGGAGCACCAGGTGATCCTGGGGGGGGGGGGGGGGGGAAAGGGGGCCCGCGCGGCGGGGGCGGGGGTGAGGGCGCGGGGGGGGGAGGGGGGGGGGGGAGGGGGGGGGGGGGGGGGGAGGGGGGGGGGGGGGGGGGGAAGGGGGGGGGGGGGCTTGCAAGGCAAGGGGCGCTCCTGGCTCGGTTAAAACTCCAGTCGATGTAATAGCGCGTCGCGTACGACGCGGGATACACAGATAGCCGACGCGACTCGAACTCTCGGGTCCAAGAAAAAAGCGTGGACCAAAGTGTCCGAGAGGGTATTACAGGCTAGAACCAGGCGCCGAGCCGACAGCTTC